TTCTGAAATTGGCATTTTTAAATATTCATTGGCTGTCTCTCATGGTGAGGAATGATTGTCTTCCATAAATTGATAAGGCCAATGTGGAATCTGTACTGTGTCTGGGATTCACTGTATGACCGGCTTGTAACATCTGCGAGATCGTGATCAGAAGATTCCAGTCATCATTCTAATGTTCTCATCTTCATTAGCTGTTGCCAAAGGAGTTGCAGAACGTGCTGAGGATGGAAGACATCTGGGTGAAGTGTGTTTTTATTGTGGAGAAAAAAGCTGGATACACACCAGCTTCTGCACAAAATAAAACCTTGATCTAATGGCATGGAGACAAGACAATTGGAGGTCTCATTCAGCTACAGCCTTCGCCCACCAGAACAGTGTTTGACAATTCCAGATAATACATCTTCTTCTACCTGTTCTGCCATTGAGAACATGGTGGCAAGACCCCTGTTTGCTGAATATTAAGGGCAAAGGAATCCTAAAAGGTTCACAGTAACTGAAATTGCTCTTGGACTAAAAGAGAACTTCCTTGTTACACCACATCATTACCCAGTGTGCACATTACACCCTGAGGCACAAGGGGGTGAACTTTGTAAACTCTGCTAAGCAATACTGAACAACTTTTAAGCATATATTTTCTGAACTGTTTCTCTTTAACATTATTACAAGAGTTACAGTATAACAAATCATTCACAAAGTATATCAAATCAAACCTTTATTCATATATATTGTATATAAATTAACACTCAAACAACAACAAAAAAACAAAAGTTGAGTTTTATAAGTAAATGGATCTGTGCAAAAAAATCTGATTTTATATGAACGTACAATGATGATGCAGCAGTTGAGTTCCGTTGAATAAATTAGAAATGTATTTTACAGGGCATTAAACACAATCTATTGCTTATCACAACTCACTTTTGCCCCTCATTCTATAGACAGAATGCAATTCAGCAAAGTCTAATGAAACTACAAGAGCAAACAACACTCACAATACCCTTTCAATCTAAAGTGCTCTTAATAGACCTTTTTATTTTAATTGGGAGAAGTTGTGTTCATGTTATATATTTTGGGGGATCTATGAGCATGTTTTATTATTGGACATGTTCTTTTTATTACAGCCTATGCACAATATCAAACTGTCTCACTCATTTTTTTAATATTATCTACCGAAGACGTCAACTTTCTTTTAAAAAACACATGCTACACCACATGTTCTCATTTGCTTTAACATTTGCTCATGTAAGAGTTTAATCAAATATTTAACGTAAAGATTGAATAGTATGAAGATTAATATAGGCTGTCTACAAGAGCCACAATATAATGTCCCAAAATATTCAGTCCAGAAAACATTTTTTTTAACCTCCATAGCTCACACTGGTTACATGGCTTAGAGTTATAGCCAATTACCCCAGCTCAGGAAGTAGTGGGTAATATGTCACATCCACTGCAGTATAGACAGTGGCATATCTATTGCAGTTGCAGACAACTAGTAACTGCAGGGGAGATTTCATTGACTTTAGTGCCTGGCAAAAACAGTAATGAATCAAGGGAATGTTCAAATATTTTATTTTTTACTTAAAACGGGAACGCACAATAACTTTCAAGTTTTATCTAAGCTTCTCAAACCTTACAGCAATTTTGTTTTCTCCTCAAACAGTCAATAGTCTCTGTATAAATGGTAATTGGGTGTAGCAGGCAGTTTATTTACCTTTGTTGTTTTCTACTGAATAAATGATGCAAAGAATACAAGAAAAATGTTAGCCACTTTCCAACAAACTCGTCAGTAAATAATTCTGAGCACTGCATGAGTATTCCGAATCTGACTGAGTGAAAGAAACTGTGTTCTGATGTCACCACAATGAAATGCCAGAAGAAGACCAAAATACTGCAAAGAACTACAGTAGGACTATTTTTCTTTGTCCTAATCCTACTCTACTATCTTAAACAGAGGAATCTAGTAACACTGAAATGCAACCACAGATAAATTATGAAATGCAATCCCTGAAATAATGAAATATTTCTTAATGTTTAATTTTTAAATATAACAATCTAACAACAGTCCCTGGTAACAGTTAACCAATTCGAAGGTATCTTACAAGGTGTATATGTTACAGGTGTATTAACTGTACAACTAAACAGCATGTGAAAATGCTGTAGAACATTTGACGTTTGTGATGCTTAAATACATTCTTTTAATACAGACAATGGAGTATAATGGATTATAATTAAATATGAGATGGAATACTATGGGAGAAATCTAAAGGGATTTGATTCCTGACATTTTTAATAGTCCTGTTTTTATATTTTTTATTTTATGGAAAAAAGAAACCCAAAGACACATATAAAAGTATAAAATTAAGTTAAGAGCTTCAAACTAGAGGTGTTTTTACAATGGTCTCAGTTATTATCCCCCAGTGTACAGCATACTGTACATCATTTTTATACTTCCAGTGAAAAATAAGTTAGGTTAGCTGCCATTTTAAACTCAGTCTTCAAGATGTGAAAGAATGGTTACATGTAAACCTGTTAGTAAACAATAGTTAGTCAAAAAGATTGTGGGAGTATGGAACAAGCTACCCAGCCATGTTGTTGAAACTGATACCCAGAACTCTTTCAAGAAACAGCTGATGAGTTTCTCAGATCAATTAGCTACTAAATACCCAACAATAGTATACAACTATACTGCGTACTGTATATCAAGTATTTATTCACTTAAAAATTCATACAGTTTAATACATGTTAAAATCATGTTCCGCTTTCTATGAGGTATAAAAGGAAAGCTATGATCTAATCAATATGCCAAGTGACCATTTTTATTTTCACAATTCTTTAGAAAAAACTAATTTGAAATCCAATCCCAATACCCTAATTCAGCTTTGCAGTAACACTTCATGTACAGTATTCTGAAAAAACCAAGATTGTTTTTTCTGCACCAAATGCAAAAGCTCTATTTAGAGCATTGTCTATACGAAAATAAAAAGTTTATGTATGTTGACAAAGGATAAAAATCAGAGATTTCAAATTCTTACAAGATTCATACATTCCTTTTTTTAAATGATGAAAAGTGATGTTAACCTGAATAATTGTATTAGATGTTCATAAGGCCATCTCCTCTGTTATGACACCAAGATGAAATGAATACAGTACTTTACAGATTTATAGTTTATTACTCAAAACTGTCAAAAACATCCACTGTTGGGACAGATCCCATCGTGTGTGTTCATGCCCATTTTACATTTGAGATATGAGAAATCATTAATATTTCACATTATCAGCAATGTAGCAGTAAAACACTAGAAGTCCAACTCTTACTTTGAAAAAAATAAAACTTCTAATGTAGGAGCTCACATAGATTAAGTGAAAACCTTGTTACTCTGAGACTCAGAGACTGTTAGCTCTTTTGCTCTTGTGATATTTTTTCCTTTTATTCTTTGCTTATCAGTATGGCTCTGTATGATCAAGATCTTGAGAATATTTGGCAGAATTTCATCTTCTCTGTTACATAACCCTTTACTTGAAACATCAAGCTCAGCAGAACAATACGTAAATGGCATTGAAAAGACGAATGCCAAAAGAAAAATGTTCTATGTAATTTGAGCTCAAATGACAAATTAACAAATTAAACTGCATTATGCTGTCCAAGTTGGAATCATTCTTTAAACTAATTTGATTGAGAACCCTGGATACATACTGTACAGTGTTTGATCTAATCAGTGAAGAGTTGCTTGTTTTGCGAGAGGACAATTCTTGATGACAAATGTCTTTAGTTCCCAGGTTTCAGTTTGTTCATTGTATATCCCAGCAAAACAGATCATATTACAACATGGCAGCCACCTCCACATCTTGGGCCATTACCCCCAAAGCAATAAATGTGATGCTCATGTTATTGCTAGCTTGTTTCATGAAAACAAAAAAATGTATTTATCACAAAGCCTCTAGTGAACAACGCAGGCTGAATTTAACAGCTAAAAATGTATGGTTAAGAAACTCTGTATTCCTATTGTAGAGTAACTAAGTGTTTTAGCAAAATGTTTTTACAAAATGGGGCAAAGTACTTGGCACCCTCTCTGTTAACACAGCTCTGCTCATGCAAGATTTGCTAAAGAATACAACAGAAATGTTCACCAAGACAAAATGCAAATTGACAGACAGAGAGCATAAGAATGACAGTTATTTATTGCTGTCAAAAAAGAGATTAATTTCACCAGGTTTAATTAATGAGGTGTCAATGCTACCTGAGTAAAGACTCATCCTTCAATGAAAGGATTATAAAGAATCCAGTAACAGCTAATTACTGAATTGCCTATCATCCACCTCTACTACTCAGTAAATTATGAATTACTTTAAACCACTCCATATGGCCTTTTTTAAAAAACCAGCTGAAATAAAGCTTACTTTTCATTTAGTAGCCCTTCGTTTAATGGTGAATGTTTTCTACATACAAGCTGCTTCAGCAAGTACTGAATTGTCAAGGTTTATGATCAACCAGCCATAGAAAAAATGACTTAGAACAATCCTCCGGGCAAATGCCCACTTTCCAATTGTGGAAAATTGCCCATTTATTAGCTCATTGTCTTGTTAGTATGACTGTGCTTAATTTATGTTACAGAATTAATTAAGGAATGTGTCCTGAGGTGATTTAGCCGGATGTATCCGAGGCATAATCCAATGAAGCCTTCTTACTTTTAAGAAAGACCAGTTGTCTTATTAGCCTGCAGAGAATACACAGACATTGATTTAACAAGGAGCCTCATCTGTAAAAAGGTAAGAAAGTGATACTGCAATGAAGTCACCTCAGGGAATATGCTGAAACGTATGAGCAGCAATGACAGTCTTCAAAAGTCGTTTTGTAAAGAGAAGGATGTCAAAACTGCTGTGACGATGAGATTTCATTCAGCATTTCCCAGATGTGATGACTTAACTACTGGGACCTCAGCTGACCAGATTATGCAGGTGAGCCCAACACCTTAGCTACAGTACATACTGTATGCTTTCCATACCTGCAAAAGGTACAGGAGCATCCTTATCAAGAGCAACCAGTGGAGGGTCCAGTAGGACAGTTTCAGTGTTCTCCGTTATAACTCCATGGTACGATGTCTCAATCCAGGGTTTGTGTTTGTTTACTGCAAAAGAAAAACACAGGAGGGGGGTCAATTCAATCATTTTTGGCTCAGCAGCAGAGTATCAGGAGTATAGAAAATACTTCACCCAGAACAAAAAAGGAAGAATTCAATAAGCATTAAGGTAATACAGTATGCACACAATGTTCTCTGTTCTATTCTATAAATCTATTACATTATTTTTGTCCCAAGAATATTTCATATTTCCTTAAAGGTGCATAAAGGTGATTAATTACATAGTACTTTCGTACAACATATTTATGAAATGGAAGTAGAGAACATCCAGCAATGTCATTTTTGTTAATCACAGCAACACAGTATTACTATGGTTACAGTTAGGGGTTCAATGTTATTCCACTTTGACTAATATAACAAAAAGTAAGTCTTTATTTTATTTTCATACAATGTATCCTGTCTGAACAAAGTGATAGCATATTTAAGAAACAACAGGCTGAAACCAAAGGGTCTTTCACCTGCATGAAACCTCCTATTACTACTTTGTGCTGTGATAGCAAATTGGATTAAGTGCTCAACAGGGTTACATGTGATTTTCCTAACTGTAAACCTGGCAGCTCCTAACCTTCCTAATTGCTTGCCCTATTAAAACAACAAGTAAATCTCACTCATCCCCAATGACATGCCCCAGTTGTAAAACATGTCAGCTCTGGAACAGTGATAAAGTTTAATGGAAAGGTGAAAATACTGTGATGCTAATGGTGTCGTTATTTCCTAACAACCTTCTTGGCTGGGGATGGTGAAAAAGTAATTGTAAAACTCTGGAGAAGAACATCTTCAGATTGAGCCCTAACTCTTACAACACTTTACAGCAGCCACAAAATAACCACCCTTTGGTTAAATAGAGTGCTCTCAGGAGAGCATGTTCATACTTCTTTTCTCCTGTTTTTTTTTCCTGTTTCGAGAGCTTTTTTCTTTGTTTTTTTTTTTGTTATATTCATTTTGTCCTGTTTTCCAACTTGTAAAATAAGTAAAAAATGCTTATGTGACTGGAAGCTTTCTCAAAAACCCTGTACCTGTTAATAGAGCTGTATATTAGTACTAGAGTCATTTGAATAAAGTGCTTTGCTGAAGGGTAAAACAGCAGTGTCCGACTTGGGATTTGAATCCTCAGCCATTACCATATACTGCTACTTGATTTGGTACTTCTTTCCCAAACCAGTGTAATTATTATTATTACACTTCGATTGGATTTATTATGAATGCTGTATGCCCTGACCTGAAAAATCCATATTCCTGCTGCAAAGTCATTAAATTAAATATTCATTAGACATGATCACTTCTCTACTACATATTCAGGCAGTCTGCAATGTGGAATGATGAAATAACCATTACTTTACTTTCTTTACTGAATTCTAAGAAAATTTGTTCTGGAAATTGATTCTAATATGCAAAGAACTTGTAGATTTCTTGCAAAGAATACATTGCAGTGCTAGTGTGCTGTGACCTCTACTTAATTTTACATCCTGAACACACAAGAAAACTCCCAACAGTACAACAATATATGTTACACTATTTAAACTGACATATTTAGCCATTTGGGCTTTACAGCTTCTTTAACTTAATCTTTCAGTTTTACAGCAGTGTCCCAAATGGCATTTTTAACACCAACATTTAAATCACATCTCCTCTAAAAAGTAATTAAATGGGGAATCCGTCCTTCCAGTTTTATGAGTTTTCCAGAGCTTAGCAAATCATATTGACCTATTAATCCAAAGCAGTACAGCCTGTTTTAAAAGATAAACAGATGACTGGTCAAGCAGATAATAACCCAGCTGTCGGAGATCTGCAACCACCTTTTCTTTCCTTGACTCCAGGAAACACGTTAGGGTCACATTTGAAAAAGAAGATCCATGGATTCTGCTGATGTGCTGGAATGGTATATAAAAGTATCCAGAAAGGAAAGAAATAAACCAGAAGTGAGAGCAAACTCTGCTTGTGAAATACAACCCATTTAATCCGGTCAAGCTATAACGCCTTTCCTTGTTATTGGAAAGGCAACTGCTGTTATTTAAGATGAGAGGACAATCACTGTCTGAAAGGCAACATGGGAGAAGAGATTAGAACTGTCCCACAGGGAAGTAAATAATCTGTACAGACTGCCCTGAATCTTGGCATCTTTTGCGTTTTTCGGCAGAAAAGCATTTTTTGATATGCCCACATCTTTGTATTACAACATTTCAACTCGTATGGGGTACAGCACTTCACTCAAGATAAATGTGATGAAAAGAAGGCCTTTGGATATTATATATGCCGTAAATTATGCAAAACACTGTAAGACAAATCTAACAAAATACTAAAGAATTTACTATGTAAATGTAGTAGTTCAGGTGGGTAGCTGCGTCAGCATGCGTAGGCTGCTTCTTCAGGTTCCATGGCCGAAATGTTGTGTTTTCTTTCCTCTTTTTTTCAGCATGGAATAAACCTATTACTTCTTCCTATGTAAATGTATATGTATTTATAATAAACAATATAATGACAATAAAAATCATATCACTGTATTTGAGAAAGTGTAATTTTAGAAACAAATATACTGATGTGAGATGTTTTGGTGTCATTTTGATTAACTGATCAATCATGACAGACCAGGGTACACCTGAGTATCTTTGACAGTTACTTAAGCACTAAACCCTGCCTCAGTGAGACCCATTGATTGGACACAGGTATTTAGGTGATTTAAGTGGGTGAATCTCAGATCTGGTGAAAATCAAATAAGAATAACACAGAAAAGAAACAATGCCCCCTGCTTATCAAGCAAACAATATCTCCATGCCATCAGTATGTTGGGGCAACACCCCACACGGACTTGTCAGCAGTGGAGCCACGTCCTCCTTAGCAGTGAATCAAGGTTTAGTGTCAATCACCCTGATGAATGTCAGTGAGTGTTACGCAGGCTTGCTGAAAGATACACTAATTGTCTTATACAACAGACGAATTGATGTGGAGGTCCAAGCATGATGGTCTGGGCAGGAATGTCAAGTTAGTACAGAACTCCATTTGCAGTGATTGATGAGAACCTGATTGTGCGAAGCCAACCAAGTCCTGGAAGCTCACTCATTGTCCTTCCTTTGGGATAATTCCTGACACAACAACATTCCAGCAGGACAACACGGATTCACATCCTACAAGCTTTTTTTTTTGTGAGATGGGATTATGGTAGTTACTGTATGTTGTGGGTGTGTTACCCGCCAGACTTGAGCCCCATTAAACACTTGTGAATTATGAGAGGAAAGGGTTAAAATCCCACAACATGGTGCCCTCAGCCTAATACAAATCATGGGTTGCAGACGTACTGTACAACTTTGATTGCTTCTATCAGTGACCACACACAGCACTTCCTAGCCTGAGAGTTTCACAGTAGTTCATGATGACAAATGTACCAGTAAAATGAATTTACCCATGCCATCTCTGTTCTATACAAATGCACTGAAACTAAAATGCTTTTTTTCATTATTGCAATGATAACTTTGTGAGTCTGTTCTTCTTAAGTGATAAGGGTCTTTTAATGCTCACTATACTGTACAGATGCAGCCACTCAGGATGCATGGTTTGTCCGTGGCAAGCTTGAAGCGCCATATTGCAATATGAGTCGGCTTGCAGAACCTCAGTTTTCAGTTGCAAAGATCATTAATAGACGGCCCTTGTGGTGTGTTAGATGTTAGTGAAACAGTAGCTTCATTAAATCTGTTGCACTACTTCTTTAAATCCACTTAATATATTCATATGGAATCATGTAACTAAAGGACATTTTGGTTGCTGAAAATATGAACAACCAAAATGTAATAACGTCTCTGAAAATCATTAACAACCATTAATTTATTAATATGAATATATTTATATACAGTAACTGGGAGTGGTAGCTAAAAACTAAATATAAGGTACACAACAGTATTCCACTTTTTACTGTACATAAACATCTTCTGCATCAAGTTCTTTAACTTTCTGTGGTTATTTTGGAAATGTTTTGACGTGCTGTGCAGTATATACCCCCAGTGAGTAAAGTATTGCATTTTTTACAAATAAAGGAAAGTTTCACATTGTCAAGTTATATTATTTAGTGCATTTTCTTACAAAACAGGGATTTTATACAGTAAATCTAGCCCTGGCCTTATCTGATCTGACAAAAACTTTTTTTTTCTTTTCCCTATTACTAAAACAACATTTTTATCCAAATAACAGTGCAACAAGTCTGCCTAGCCCCTATAGAATCAGCGGTTGTATCAAGCGTGTACTGAACAAGCATAGTTATAAGGTATTTCAGCCAAAAGTGAAATTCAGTCATTACTGATGCAGACGATAATCAGGCATGAACATCTTTTATGCATAATTTTAGGAACTTCAGATAAAAAACAATTCCTAGGTGCTTAGTTTTCAGAATATGATTATGTATATAAATAACTAATGTTTTGTTAAAAATAAAACAGACAGGTTCAACCTGACCATTGTTGTTTATTTTAAAATTTTCTATTCATACATTTTTTCTATACAGTATATTCAAGTGTTACAAAATGAAATAGGTACTACTGTATATAAATTGTACCTCTAGTATGTGTAACAAAATGTCTTTTTCTATATGCTTAACCCATAACATTTTTAAAACCACAAAAATAAAACATTCAAAACAAATCTGTTTTTGAAAAATATAACGTACATTATGTATGTCATGCTGTAATTTGTAATGCATGGATGTATAATGGATTTTAAATGTACAATTCACAAAGCAATTCAGGGTGGCAAGAAATTGAAGGAACAAAAATAAAGTTGTAAGGGTAATAGATTTAATCATGGATCTGAAAGATGTCTGTATTTATGTTGTATTAGTCTGGTATGAGAGTAGGCCTAAGCTACTTATCTCCTTTTAGGTTAATTGTGAATGACAATTCATAAAGTCCATAATGCTATTGTTGAACCTTTGTTTTGTTTTAATATGGTTTTGAGTATCATGAACACTGACAGAAACATTAGTGATTTCATCCCTATAATTATGA